ATCTGTTTACTGGTGAAAAGCCTTTGTATCTTAAAATCCAATTAGATACAACAATTTTTCCGAGTAATCCTAAAATTTTGTGGAAAAGGAGACTTTCCTTACATTTGTACTTGTAATTCCAATAATTATTATTTAAATCGCAACAATTGATTCACTTAAGAGCATAACACGGAACACGAGTGTGGTTGTGTCTGTATGCCAGGATAAACATGTATGTATGTACATGCAAATGCTTGCAATGAACATAGTGCATAGGAGTACACGAGTATGCATATTTAACACATACAATACAATTGTTTAAAAGTCACTCATACGCAACGTCAACTCAGGCAAGGAAAAATCGCACCACACAAAAGGTAACTGAGGTTAAACATTTTAAATACTCTTTAATTCTGTACCATTCCGTTTCAATGAAATTTTTCTGCTTGGGTGCATTTAAGGAGGCTGTCTGCTCAAAAGCAAATAAATGAACATATGTATGTGCATACATATTTGTACGTACATATGTACATACATATGTATTTTGTACGAGTATGTACCCTGCAAACCAAAGTTTCCGAAATCTAAGCGAAATCTTTAAGAGTATCGGAACTTTTTTTTTTTCGAATTCTGTAACGAATCTTCCAAGAAAGTCATATGTAGTGATTGACACAACCTTGTAAAAAAAAACAGCTATGCGACACTAAAGTTAGGGGCAGCCTTTTGACAAAATCTTCAATGGAATATCTGTGAAAAAAGCAACGACTAACATTATAATCGACTTTATTTTCGACTATGAATATGCCCCATGGCATGCAGGGTATATGTACATATGTATGTATGCAAATAAAATCAAGTGAGTGTGTGTAAAAGAAAGAGCAAACTGTCATCGAATTACATATTTTATGAGAATTTCATGAACTTCAAAGTTGCCTTGGAGACAATCAGACATGTTCAAATATATGTACATACTTGCATACGTACATATCTACTGTATATTTCTGCTTAAATCTCTAACTACACATACGAGTATATGTGTATATATATACGTACATATGTATCTATTTACATACATATAATAATTGCATGTTATATAAACTCATTCGTGCATGCAAATAGGTGAGGGCTGCTGAACGCATAGGAAACGTGCATGAAAGATGTAAGTAGCAAAGCTAAAGAAGATAAAAGCAAAGCTACTGCTTAGTACGTGGTATTTATGGTGCGCATATATGTATGTACATACATGCCATATGTATGGTGTGTGCATCCATGCAGAGGACACTGTTGCAGCTACTAAATATATATTCTTTGTTGCTCTTTTTCGCAGCTTTTATGTGCGTTTATTTCACTTATTTAATTCTACATTAAATTTTTTTTTGCTGTGATGCACTGCGACTGCATGACAACTTCATTGTTTTCTTTTTCTATTTCAGTACTGCTTCTTCGTAGTCAGTACTACATATGTACATATATACTTACATAAGAGAGATGATTCCCTTGCTGTCCTTTGCGGACTTACGTACTAGTAACACTGTAAGCGGCTTTTCTTTGTTGCACGTAGACAAACCAGATTGTTTTATTTTATTTTTAAATATTAATTTTTTCGAAGTGGAAAATATTTTTCTGCGAAAATTTCTGGCGAAGTTATTCGAGGAGGAGTTTTTAAACCCCGTAATACTATGCTTAGTTTTTCGATTTGATAGCATAGGATATTTTTAAGAGTGAAAGCTGAGTTAGTCTAGACTTAACTGAACTTACGTAAGAAATCGTCAATGATTACTCAACACGTCAACTTAGGCAGAAGTGGAAATATTTTGTTTATGTTATTTTTGCGGCCTTTTCAGCTGACTGTCACATTGTCGCCTATAAGTCATATCAAAAAATTTCTGAACAAGAATATATTGCGTTGGCCAATGTATTAAGTTACGTTACGTAAATAGAGTCTAGACTAACTGGACCTTGAATGAGAATTTTCTTTACAACTTTAAGTTGCGATATTACCGACAATCAGGTTTAACCCCGCTGAGATAACGTGTTTTTTTTTTTTTGTACTGAAAAGATAAGCTAAGTCTGAGGGAAGTGTACAAGTTTATGTACGTCCTTTAAGGATGTCAATGCAAAAACTTTTTCAAAGTTAAGAATTTCTTATTTTCAATGTTTTTTTTTTGAAAATTTTTGCTTATTTAATAAACAAATTCAATTTTAGTTTTGCGATTTTGAGAGAGGCAGAATAAAATTCAAAAAGCGTACGTCTCGCAGGCGAACGTTATCTCAGCAGTGTTAAGAATGTGGCTTCCATGAACTGATGTCAGGTTCAATAAAGCTTGATTTTATAAAAAAACAAGTAAGGGCAAAATATTGGGAAAAAAAAAATTTGATTTGATAATCATTTGATTAAATTAATCGATTATTTCTGTCCAATTTACGATTTAATTGTATCGTAGGTTTGTGTTTCATTAATCGATTATTAATAGATTATTAATTGTAAAATAATCGTAAAAATATTTTCAAGAAGTACGAATTCTGTAGTTGCCTTTAATCCATCCATCGAACATTCTTTTTTGCTAGCTGCATCAACTATACTCGACCCGAGGTTCAAAAAAATTAATTTCAAGGTGGTCGGAATCATTCCCCCGTGCATAAAATCACCCGGACTAAATCCTCCAGAAAAATCCCCCGCTGAAGAATCTCCCTGAACAAAAATCCCCTGGACAAAATCCCCTCCAAACAATATTCCCGATTATTATTGTCCGGGGGAATATTGTTTCGGGGGGATTTGATCCAGAGGATTTTTGTTCGGGGAGATTTTTATACGGGGGATTTTTTTAGGAGGATTTTGTCCGGGTGATTTTAGGTACGGGGGAACAATTCCTAGAGCCTCATTTCAAATATCCGTTAGCAGTGGCCTCAGTAATGAAGTTCTTGCAAAATAAAATAAAATAATACTGTCATTTAGTTGGTACCTCGGTGCCTGCTGAGCACCTCTTTTTCAAAAGCTGATGCTACAGCCAGCGAGTATCGGGTCAATTAAAAAAATACCCATATAACTCTTAATTTTTTTAATTTTGACCATCGATAATTTCTACAATTTCAAAATATCGAGTACTATCTAAAATGAAATTTATTTTCAAATAAACTGACACCTTGTTTATTGCAATCGCATACAAATTTTCGAATTTAGGCGACTTTTCTTAAAAACGGCCTTGAATTTATATGTGTGTATGTACCGGAATTTCAGTGTTTTTTTTAAGCAGTGTGGCTAAGGAGTTCATCAATATTTATTCAAAATTGATATATACAATCCCTCTTTAGCAAAAAAGTGTTTTTTTTTTTTTTTGGAATTTTAGGAAAATGGGGGTGGCACCGCCTACTTATATGTTATATGCCTATCTCAAAAACTACTTGGCCGATATCGACCAAATTTGGTATACACATTGTGCTTAGCCTCCTTACGTCTTGAATCTTGAATATTTTTGAAATCTGACAAAAAAGCATTTTCGATGGGCACCCTAATATACATACATACATTTTATATTAGAGTGGTCCAAAAAATAAAGTCGGAGTTTTAATGCCGGCACACCCTAGGATTGATCTATATCGAAAAAAATATACCCCTACTTTTTTATTTTGAAATCAAAAAATATTTAGAGAGTGCTCAAAGCGCTCAAAGTTTTCCATGTATTTTATATGGAGAAAAAATAGTGAATTAGTGTAGAATTCTTGAAAATCAATATTTTTCCACCGGAAAACTGTGGTTCTCTTCAGGAGACTTGCAGTATTAATATTCCAATTGTTTATTTAACCATTTTTTATGATTAAAGATTTTTTATTGGTCCCTCCATTGCATTTTCTAAGGGCTTTGGAAAAAATTGTTACAGAAATAATCGAGTATTATTACTGGGAATCTCCTGAAGATATGTAAAGTTTTCCGATCGAAAAATATTGATTTTCAAGAATTCTATACTATTTCTACGAAAAGATGTTTTTTCTCCATATAAAATACATGGAAACTTTGAGCGCTTTGAGCACTACCTAAATAATTATTTATTTCAAAATAAAAAAAAAATATGGGGATATATTTTTTCGGTATGTAACAATCCTAGGGAGTGGCGGCATTAAAAATCCGACCTTATTTTTTTTTTACATACATTTTTGGACCACTTTAATGTATATATATATATATACATACATATGTATACTCAAGAATTTCTCTTTGTAATTCATCACTTATAAATTTGTTTAGGTACCTACATTGCGCGCATTTGCTGCGAGAGTGTCATAATCCCAAAAAAACAAAAAGTCGGGAAAAATGGCTTTAAAAGTTTTGAATTTACATACATATACATACTTTCTTGGTAAAAATTAATACATTCCTTTCTTTCTAGTGTTATACTGGTAATCGATACAGGTATACAATGTTTGTCTAACATAGAGGTAGAGGTAACGGGAGCGGTAATTTTTGCATACTCAATTTTTCTCACTCAATTTTTTATTTATTTTTTTGATTATGACACTCTTGCAGCAAATGTGCGATATGTATAGAAATGTATGTCTGCTGTCCTTAAGACTAAACACGTGCAGCAGACCGAGTTAACTGAACTGAGCATAATTCATTAATCAATTGTCTTCGGGACAACACCACTGCGTATACGTAACAATAATACAATATGTACTTTGATACAACGCGTTGCAACGTGGCCCCATAACTACTTTAGTTACGTATACGGCACGTGGCAGTGCTACTGTTCTAGTTGAATGCCATATTTTTTCCCTTCCTCTAATCAATATTTTCATTTTTTCATTTTTTCCTCTCTTGCAGTTACGTCCAGCGCTCAACTGATATCACAGCGACAGCGAAAGAGTAACACAATCAACCAAAACAAAAGCGAAAAAATTGAACGCAATTCCTCTAGCGAAAGAAGAGCGAAAAGCAAATCCAGTTATAAATCGCAAAAGAAAATCAAAAAAAATATATATATATAAAATAAGTATAATCCTCACCAAGCATTTTAATCAGTTAAAACGCCTCCATATAAACACATACCCATCCATCACCACACCATCACATTGGATTACGCGCAGCTTTACTTTCGTCCAGAGCCAACTAGTGGCCCCATACCGCAGCAGTATCAACAGTACCAGAAGTACCAACAGTACCAGAAGTATCAGAATCAGCCGTACCAGCAGAAGTATCAACAGTATCAGCAGTTGCCACAACATTACAACTACAACAACTACAACTACAATCACAACTATAATATCAGCAGTTCACGTTCCACACCGACCCATTCGCCCGCACCCTCATACACACATCTTCATCAACATTCACATCATCAACAGCATCATTTACAGCAACAAGAACAACTCATACAACAACATCAAATACAGCAATTGCATAAACTACAACAACTACAACAGCTGCAGCAGCAGCAGCAACATCAACAACAGCAGCAGCACCTTCCGTGCAACTACTACTCGGCGCCGCCGCCGCCACCAACAAACCCCAGTTCGGACCATCACACGCCGAGCCACCACAGCTCGACCTACAGCACTTACGGCTCTTACGGTTCTTACGGCGGCGCATATCTCGGCACAAGTGGCAGTGACAGCGGCGTAGGCGGTCTCACGCCCATCGGACGGAACTATCGTTGGTACCACTCGAGTGGCAGTGGTGGCAGCGGCAGTATCAGCGGGAGCATTGGCAGCAACTATCTCACTGCTGGCTCCCTTAGCGCGACCTACGGACGCACCTCCCCAGCGGCATCCATTCAGGCGCGTCCTTTGCTCGCGTCCGCGACATCGACTGCGCCCAGCAGCACTGGTGGTTGTGGCAGCGCATACGGTCTGGGACTTGGCCTGGGACTCGGCCTCGATCTCGACACCAGTGACTACGAATACGAACGAGCGTCGCTACACTCTGGCGCTTACGCTTACAAATCGTCGTCTTCGCGACGTGGCAGCAGCCTTGCTGCCGACTACTTGTTGGACGTTGCAGCACATTGCAGCGTACCATCGCCGGCACTCGAACTCGAACCGGATACTGATCTTGAACTCGATCTCGACCTCGATCTCGACGTGGGCGTCGGCGTCGGTGTTGACGTTAGCGACGTTGACGACGACATTGGCCTCGACATTGGCTTGGGCCTTAACGTCGAGGATCTTGAAGATCTTGATATCCCGGTGCCAGAACCGGAACCAGAAACAGAAGCGGACGTACACGACGAACTTGTACGCGCGCTCGAACTCGAACTCGATTGGGGGCTCGAATTCAACACCAACCTTAATCTCGTCGAGCTCAACAACGCCGATTACGTCGGATACGACGACATCGACATCGACATTGACACAGAAGCCGAGCCGATACTCTCGCCTGTGCTCAATCGATCGTTACGTCCATTTACCTATCCGGCGGTTACTATCACTGCACCGGAAAATAGTATTGCGAGCGGGTCACCAATACCAGCGGCGACTCCGCCACCAACACCAACGGATTTCCTCTATCCACAGTTGTCCGTGCACAGCAACAAAACGTCACCACAACAGCAACCGCAGCAGCAACCGCCGCAGCAACAACAACAACAATACCAGCACCAACCACAACACTACCACCGCCAGCAACAAACAACGACGACGCGTCTACCGCAGCACGACGACAGTTGCGAAGAGTTCAATCACTTCACCGACGATCCGACGTCGTGCGTCGGCCAAAAAAGAATGATGGTTAGCCGACTGTGGAACAGTTGCTTCCCCAAATTCACGCCGGAGCATGTGCACCGGCACAATTTTTACCTATGCCAGGTAAGCTATCTGTTCTCTCCCTAACTACAAACTTTCCTTGGTCATAAAATCTTTAAAGATTCCAAACCAAATGTGAACAATGCTCGAATAACTCAAAGTCGATATTTATCTTAGTTAACGCTCTCGTTTCTTCTTTTCCTTTAGTGGCAGCGCAACACTCAAGTGCGCATCGTCTATCTTTTCTACCGCTGGCTAACGGCAATTACCTGCTTAGCGGCGCTTGTCTGCTCACTACTCGACATCGGGCGCACCGAAGAGCATTTCGAAAACCACTATGCGAAGTGGTGGATCTACCTGACACATTGGGGTCTGCTCTTTTGCACGGTGCAAGCATGGCTAGCGGCGTGGATTGTTACGCAGGGCATGATGGTTGAACGTGAAGACTTTGAGGTTGTGCGTCAAGCGCGAAAGAGTCGCCTACATCACATATACTGGGTGCTATACACATGTGCGACTGTGTATTCGTTCATCATCACGATGGTTTATTGGTTGCTGGTGCATGACCCAGGTAAGATAGCGGGAATTGTGAAGAGATTTTGGAAGTGGAAAATAATATTTTGCCTTTTATTTTTTTTTTTTAGAAATTCACAAAATAGACGCTTTAAATATAATGGTGCATGTGTTCAATTCGGTGATTATGCTAATCGATTTAGCTATTGTCGGACATCCGATCAAATTGAGTCATGTCTACTTTACGACCGGCATCGGCTTGGCCTATGGCATATTTACGGGCATTTATTTCTTGGCTGGTGGCACCGATAGGTAAGTACAGATTGTTGTTGATTTTATAATTTTATTCACTTCACTGAAATATGGTAAATACTTATTGTTAATACAGACATAGCACCCTTTTTGGTATTTTTATATGACCACTACAAATCATTGGAGCACTGGTTTTTATTGGATTTTTATTTGTAATTAAATGCATTTTGAATGCATTTGCAAATATTAATATTTAAGATTACTTGATTCAGTTTCAGTTTCCTTGCTTAGTTCTATTATTTCTTTTGGTTACTTCTAACACTAACACTTTGTATCCTTCATTATCATTCTGAGCTCGCCATAATTGAGCCGCACACTCAAGACACTTAGCGGTTTTTGTTAGTAGGACCATTGTCTTGTATAGAATCGACGCGTAGCCAAATTCTTTTTTCGTGCAGATTGTTAAACCGTTTCCGTCCCCACCTTTGCCTGCAACGCCCGCCAAACAATTAGCCGTCCTCGCATTATTACAGCCCAATAAGAACATTCGTGATATATAGTAGAAATATCCATTCTACTCGTATAATGTGTCGTATTGGGTTATTAGATCAACCATACAAAAACTGTCATTTAGATTCCCCTAAGGGTTTTGAAATGCCTTCGGTTTAGTCTCTGTTAACCCTGTAGTGCTACTATTTCTGCTCTGCCCTGCCGAACTCCGGACATTGGTAGTGTTTGCGTGTGATGCTGCCGAAATTGGAGCTCGGTGCCTGCTGTTCATATATTTTTTGTCCACTTTTCAGCCAGCGTGCTGGCTTGTCCTTTGAATGTCCCGCTCCTCTGCTCTGCATGTAGGTGTTTCTGCTCTTCTTTGGCTGTTTCCGCAAGGTATAGTAGCGGCTACATCCTCGTGGATGCGATTCTATGTTGGCCATCCTCGTGGCTTCTGCTCCTCAATTTTTTTAGTTCAGTATGCACTAACACGTTTCGCAGATACCTCAGCGTCGACGATGTTTGGTTACTTCGTACAATTACTTCAAGTCGTTAGGACGGGAAGCCAACTGATGTAGTCCCATGTACTGTAAAAGGTCGGTACATTTCAAGAAAATAGCTTGACGCATCTCCTCAGATAGTGCTTAAAGGCAGACGCTGGTCTGTTGGAAAGCACTGGGTAAAAGTAGCAATCAGAATATAATTGGCGAGTCTCTGCACCTCGCAAGGCTCAGTATATCAGGCGCCATCGGAAGCGCCCACAAGAAGAACTGTTCATGATATTTTACTTGAAGCCACTACAAGTATTCGTAACAGGCACGGCCGCAAAAGGGACCCTTCGACTAAGGGCACCAAAATTGTGAAAGCAGACCACTTACGGGCACACAGATGTTTTAAAACTGATTACCTTACGTCAAAATGGGATTTAAGTTTTCGAACTCCCGTACTTTTTCCAACTAGGGAAGATTGGAAATGTGACCCACTGCCAGTAAATGAGGGTATTTCCATCTACACCGATGGCTCAAGGATGTAAAAGGGAGTCAGCTCGGGTCTATACTCCAAGGACCTACAGATATGGCAATCACATCGCCTATCTGATAACCGCAGTGTCTTTCAGGCGAAGATCTTTGGCACAGAGAAGGCGGTTGCCTTATATGATATAGTAAGTCTATGCCAGGGAACGTCACTATGCTCGTTGACATTGAAAACGTTAAGTTCCGGGGTAATAAAGTCAAAAGTGGTTTGGAAATGTCGTGCATCGCTGACTTCACTGAGACACGTCTAAAAACCCTCTTCTGCTGCGTTTCTGGAGATAAAATTATCGAGGTGGGGGAAGATGCAGAATCGATTCACCACTTCTTATTCAGTTCCCAGCTCTCCAGATGCGGCAACTCAGGCATTTGGGATGACGCTTTTTCAATAGTTTGGGGGAGATGGAAGTGGAAATATCGGAGCTCCACAGCGTCATCCCAGATAGTATATAGCTTTTCGGACACTATGGAATAAGTTCGGTTAGAAAAAATTGCTATCTGCATTCTTGTGTGTGTGTTTGCTTCTTTGATATACTTATTCATATAAAAATATTGATTTTCAAGAATTCCATACACCATCTCTACGAAAAGTTGTTTTTTCCCATATAAAATAAATGGAAAACCTTGAGCGCTTTGACCGACCTCTAAATATTTTTTGATTTCAAAATAAAAAGTAGCGGTAAATTTTTTTCGATATGGAACTATCCTAGCGGATGAGAGCATTAAAATTCCGACTTTATTTTGGACGACCTTAGTGTACATACGAGTATTTAAAAAAAAAACCTTAAGTTTGTGAAATTTTGTTTGTGAAATTTTAAGTTAATTTTATAAAGTGAAACTTTCATTTCATTTCCTGCACGCTAGCATTTTGTTTTATTTTGCACGCCACTGTTGCATGGATACATTTTGCACAACACGATTAAATCAGCACCCTCACCGTTATTGGCATATCCACAACATTGCAAAAAAAAAAACAAATTTCTGAGAAATCCAACAAATTATTATTTGCAGAAAAAACAATGTCTACATCTATCCCATGCTGGATTGGACCAAACCGGGCAAGGCCATCATTGTCACGGTGTGTGCCATCATATTCGTCTTTGTGGTGCACTTCTGTTGCTATCTCCTCTACCGTACGCGCGTCTGGCTCTTCACTAAGCTCTGCATACGTGGCGCGCACAACCGCGATGGCGACATGGGCGAAGGGCTGCACGACGAATCGACGGCGCGTCTAGGTGGCGGCACTTCACAGGAGTATTCACATCAGCAACAGTATCCGATACTGCATTCGGAGCAACCGCGCACCTCCACACACCACCACCATCAGCATACGCAGCGTCAGCAACACCAACAGCAACAGCAACAGCAACAGCAGCAGCATCCTCAAAGTCAGTCTGGCGGAAATGTACAAACTGTAGACATGATGAGCGGCGGTGGCGGTGGTGTCAGCGCCACGCAACATACAACGCCGTCTTATTATCCGCAATACTCTGGGTACCAGCAACAGCCGGTGGTGGCGGGTGTCAATGTTGGTGTACTCAGCGCTGGTGGCTACTATCAATCGGAAAATAATAATAAAAATAAACAGCAGCAACAACAACAACAGCAGCAACAGCAGCAGTCGCAGCAACAACAAAAACATTCCTCAACAACAACTGCCGCATCCGGTTTAACTCGCACCGTGGCCCATTTAGATGCGGCACAGCGTGAACAATTCCTAAATCCAAACAAGATTGTGGAATATAAAATGTAAAGGCGTTGTACCCGGCACCGATATACGTTCCACTTGTCCATGAAATTCTTGGAGAAACACTGTGACCAATGTCAGGCGGCCAAGCGACGCGCCGATGCGGAAGTGCATGCCAAAGCGCAGGCACAAGCGGCGGCGGAAGCGGCAGCCGAGGCGGCAGAAATAGCAGCGGCCGCAGCATTAGAAGCAGCTGCCAAAGTCAAATCAGAATGCGCGAAATGTTGTTGAGCGCTGAATGCGCGAGGCAAAAGTTGAATCGGTGCAGCATTCGATGAAAGCAGCCCGATTGGTCAGTGTTGGCAGCGCTGGCTGGCGTCACAGTGTAAGCGACGTTATAATGAGCTCTCGTTGTTGTTGTTTAGGATTAATTTTAAGGGGTTGGCGGACAGAGTGGTTGAACGATCGGTGGCTTCGTTATGTTGGTGTCGGGTATAGACGTTGGTTTGCCTGGCAGATGGTACAAGCGAACATAGGCGCTAAGCTTGAAATTGAAAAATGATGAAAGGAAAATGGAAAATTTTATAAGAATCTAACTAAATGCGGTATGGGGCCTAAGGTGGGGTTGAATAAGTTTTATAATCAAAAAAACCAAAAAAAAAAAATCGTACAAGTTAGTGTTAGTATTAGCGAAGCAGAATTGTTAGCGCGGGAGAGCAGATGTTTGGAGACTCGCTTTTGATGTGTTCCTTTAGATGTTGCTTTCTAAGTTTAAAAAATTTCTTTTATTTTTTTCATCTATGCTAAGTGAGAAAATGGTATCGGAGCTATTTAATGGTGATGCATACATATGTATGTGTAATTTGCTTTCTTTGTAAACGTGTATAAATTTTTACTAAGATTTTTGTTAGTGCTTTCATAAATTGAATGTTTAGAATTATTTTAGAAAATTTGTACATTTAATAAAAAACTGGGTTATAATAAAACAAAAATGGGTTGTTATAAAATAATGGGTTATAAAAAAGTAAAAATTGTCTATAAAATTTTAGTATTCAAAGTTTTCATTGAGAAATGCTCACTTTTAGAATATTTTCAATATTTTTCTTAAATAATTTTCCTTTAAATGCAAAAACTAGTTTAAATACATCCTAATTAAGCGTAGAAAAAATTTACTACAATTTTAGAGTATTTTTTTTAAAGAAAATTCATATCCCAGGAAAAATTATCTTACCTATTTACATAAAATCTATTTTTAACCGACTGCAAAAAAGTCGGAATCTTTCTTTTATGTACGTTACCGGATAACTTTGGGCCACGTGAATAGTTTTCGATAATTCGTTTAAAATCAAAGGAGAGGTGGTATGTCTCTCAATTGTTTATCTCATTAGAGCATGAAGAAACTAGTGGCAATCCCAAGTTTTTATATGAGCATTGAAGTCGGTTTTTTTGTGCTTAAAAATTACTTGTTTTTCAAACGATTCCCATTTAAAACAAAAAATAATATAAATTTCGTATTCATTTTTTTTTTTTTTTTAATTTCCAACTTTTAAATAAAACAATAGTATGTATTAATTTTTTTTTAGACAAAGTTCAAAGTTTTCTTAAAAACTTAATTTTTTACTATTAACCGTTACTATTCGAATAGAGTAAAAAAAAAAAATTAATACTAAAATTTTAGTAATAAAAATATTTGGTTGGGTTGGTTTGTTGGGTTATTTATTTATTAATTTTAAAGTAATTTCCCCTTCCCCTTGAGTTCATGTCCAATATCTGCACTCACAGTATATGTATGTATGTACATCATTGATAATATCGGTGCAGGATATATGTATAGTATATACATACATGCATACATATAGAAAATGAAGAACAATAAAAGATATGCACTAAGTATGTATGCAACTAGTGTGAGTAGAAAAGCGTGGAAACGTAGTAGAAAGGCCTTTAAAATCCAACAAATGTAAAATGATTAGCGCTTCAATGTATGTATGTATATTTAGGAATATGTAGGGTGCAAACCAGAAATTGGAATAGAAATTAACAAACAGAAAATAAAGTAAATGTTGTCTAGAAGACACCAAACAGCAAACAAAAAAAAAAAACAAACTACCACAAATACAATAGAATATGTGAATATCAAAACTTATACATACATGTACAATATTAAATACTACATAAATGTGTACAAACGTGTATGTGTGCATGTTCATGGAAAGCTAAAAAGCCGATTATTTTTTACTTGGCTTATAGTTGAGCACTCCTACGCATACACTTTAGGACATACATACATATGTATGTACACTCTGGGATGAGATAAAAAAATAAATTGTACGAAACAAAAGTAAAAAATAGTTAATAAAAAACAACATCAATTACTAAACATACATATTTACATGTAGTACATACATATAAAACCCAAATATGCTTAGCATGTAAATTGCAATGTCATAATAATAAAAAAAAAAAAACGCATAGCATTTGTTATAAAAAGTGAAAAACAAAAACTACTAAATTTAATTTAGGTACAATTTAGTGTTAAAAAATAAATAAATAAATGCGTACTAGCATGCACTAGTACGAGCAAAAAACACACCAAAAAACGTATTGAAATGGGTTAGCATTGTGGTAGTGACTAGCTGTAAGTAAATAAAAAAAAATAAATGTATTACATATACCTACTTACATATACAAATATTTACTCTGCATATTTAAAGAGTTTTCAAGGAAATAGTAAAATTAAATTGAATGTAAAATATTTTAAGAAAATATGCAGCAGTTATGTGAGCAAAATTGATTTAAAAAATTTCACATTTAAAAAGTGTCCCATGAACGCGCTCATCAAAAGAAAAAAAAAAAACGAAAACAAGAAACATAAACAGGAAAAGCTCTCTTGGTTAAAACAGATGTATATCATTTGCATAACAACAAATAAAATATCAACAAAGTATACATACATACATACATACAATGAAGTATATTTCAAAATATCATTACGTACAGTATGCGGCCGAAAAAATAAATCAATTTAAAATACATACATACATACCTACATAATATGTAATAATAAGGCAAAAGCAATATTTGTAAAACTCGTCAAGAACATGTGTTAAATGTGTATCACTAGCGATGATAAAGAATCACATAAAATACAGTTAATAGCACAACATTTCAAAATACATACATACAGTCAGATACATATTTAAAACAGTGAATTATAAAAAAAAAGACATTCTATAAACCGTTAAATTTAAATAAAAATGGAAATCCAAAGTTCACAATACAGCAATGCCATGAGAAAATTAAGCGCATTTTTATTAACCCTTCCATAACTCACTGAAAAAAAAAAAATATGTTATACCTCGCATGCTCAAAAAGGTGCGCTGCATATTGCTCACACGTGCAAGAACTGCGCAAGAAAACCTATACAATTAGTTAAACCGTTGTTTTATCCACCATTGATCTGCAAAATTTAAGAAAAAAAAAATCGAGTTCCCGCTTTAACCCTCTAGTAGGCAGAACCGCCTCCAGACGGTCGTTAACTAAACACCTTTTTAGTGCACCTATAATAATTTTTTTCTATATTCGTAAGGCACGATCTTTAGACAAAAATCGTACCCTTACGGCAAAGTAAATTTTAATCCGTTATGTCAATCCGTTTTATTTTAATCGGCAGTTGAATTACAGATTTTGAAAACACGGTTAAAATTAATTATTTCATGCTATTTAGTAATTTCGTGATTAAAGAAATTTTTTCTTTTGAAAAATTTTTTGATATAAAAAAATTCGGTGGATTTCGTTGTTAAAAGCACCGTATTTTAATATAAGTTTTATAATTATGTCACCATTCGAAATGGAGAAAATTGCTTTCGAACACAGACCGTCTACAGACCGGCTTGCCGACATATAAAACCCCAGTTTTGCATTTTTGACCGTCTGCAGACGGCATTGCCGGTTCGTAGGTCAACATTGTGTAAGAGAAAGCTGAAAATATGTGTAAGTATATCGGCGAGCCCGTCTCCAGACGGTCTTGGTTTTTCTTCCCTGTAGGAAAAAGTTACTGTCACAGATCGAAATGGACATCAGTTTTGGATTTCTCGTGCTAAAATCACCCATTCCTGAATTTTTCAACTCATAAAAAAATTGGCCTACTAGAGGGTTAATCCACTTTATCCAGTTGAAAACTTGGTTACTTCACGCGCTTCTTTCAAATATTTCACGCACCTATTTGATTTAAAAAGAAAGATGAACATAATTTTTTTAATAAATTAATGAACCGAATGCCAAAAAAGAAAATATCTCGGCATGGATCGATTAATCGATCTCCAATTAATCGATTTAAAAAGTACAGCTTAAGTAAGTCTATAATTTAAAAAGAAGAGTTTCTATACCTTATTAGAACTTTGGTTCTTCTCCTGATTAATTTTTCAAGAAACTAATCGTTTAAAAATAGACTTGGTTTAATCGTTCTGCGATTTAATCGATTGCAAAATTACATCGCTGATTGAAAGCCATTCATGCAATCGCGTAGCGTTCGACAAAATGTGTTTTATTATTGTATAATTTAACAAAAAAAAAAAAAAAAAAAAAAAAAAATTTGAAAATAATCGATCCTGAAGGCCTGGAAAAATCGAGGTTTGATTTGATCACATTAAATAAACGCGATTTTTTGTTTCGATTAATGTATCAAATCGCAATAGAAAAATCGATCGTTCGAGACGAAAAGGAAGCCCTCGATCAATCGATTTTCGATTTAAACGATTCAAAAACGGCATCTCTAGTACATATTGAAGCACTGAGTTCCAATCTAGCGCCGCTCTGTCTGCATATTATATTCACATCATTTAATAATTGAACAGCTTTCATTTACTTTTCCGTAGCTATGATCGATTTGTCTTGAAAATAACACTTAATAAACTGTTTTTAAAAATGTCAAGCTGCATTTGATTAAGTTTTTATGGAAACAAAAAAAAAAAAATGCATTGCACACGCAAAGAAAATGTGTTCATTCATGTTTAAGTATTAGAATTACCAAAACTGCTTTTTTATAATGTTCAAAAACACGTTAACGAACTAATTTTCACTGCATAAAAGCTACTTATTTAAATGAGAAAATTTTCGAAAGCTAAGTGAAATTTTAATTAAACTACTTGAGCATTATGGGAAAATGTATTATCTCACACGCCCTTATATTTCGTGCACCTTAAAGATATTCAATACAACTTAAAAACAAGTTTGCAAATTAAAAACAGATATTTTAAGCAACAGTTACAGTTAGTGAAAAGAAACAGTTATTAACTTTCCAGTAAATAAAAAATTTAAAATTTTTTCATTTCAAATTGTACAGAAGTGAGGAAATAATTATAAAATAATAGTATTATATAAAAATAAAAACTTTATATAGACTGATTACAAGTTTACACAGCAAATAATTAACACAGAAAGAGTAAAACAAAAACAATAAAATAAAGCGCATAAAGCAACTAAATGAGAATATTTTATAAATGTATAAATAATGAAATAAATTAAAAACAAACTCTACTCATAATTTGGAAATTTAAT